AGACAAAAAAAAAAAAAAAAAAAAGAGGTTGGTGAGGCTTGAAAATTGTGGATATGGTATCCACAAGTTTTTATTAAGCAGAACTCTAAATGTTTTACTTACTTACTTCACTTTGAACCATAATTGAGTCTCACCTCTATTTTTTTTTTTTTTTGAGGTTTTTGCTATAGGGCACATGCGCTCGCTCGCCAGACAGACAGAGAGACAGAAAGCGAGAAATCACCCCCCAGGGGGGATGGGCACGCTGCAATCCCTTCTCCTCCATACTCCTCTTGGGATCTTGGGCACACACGCACACGCGCCTGGCATGAGTTTTAAGCCACCAGGTCCAGGACGCGAACCAAGGTCGACTATGTGGGAGTCCAGCGACACAGCCATTACGCTAACTGCTGGTCCCACCTCTAATGTTATTTTTAAAGACTTTAAAATATACCTAAATATTTTATTAAGATGAAATGATAACATGTAATTTGGTACATAAATAAAATTTTTCTTTCATTATTTCACATTTACCTAGTAGTTTTAAACTTCTTTCTAAAAGTCTGTAACAAATACTACATTGATATTTGTACTGCTTTCAACTAGTTCTTGTCAATTTACTTTTTCAACTTGTGATTTCGTACAGATTTTGAATTACAGTAATCTGAAATCTGAGAGAGGTACCCAAGCAACAGGAATTAGCCTATTCAAATGTAGAAAATGTGTGTAGTTCTGATATGTGAACGGAAAAGTAGTACCTTTGTGGAAGTGATCATTCCTACCCCAGAATTCTTGCCTGTAGTTGGTGCCATGCTGCCACGACACGCCTTGCTGAAGCCACACATGAGTCTGTTAGGCTCCCTAAGGCTGGGAACTGTATCTCACCTCTTATGTCCCTCTCCCTGTCAGCACCCAGACCAAACCCCAAAACACTGCATGTTTGGTTAAGATTACAGGCAAACAATTTACCACCTTCAGATATGTCTGACAAAATAATAATAGTAGTAACACACATTCTTACCAAAAAGAGTGATTGTGGAGTTGGTGAGCAACTTTCACTTGCAGACAAGTTTTTTTTACTAATTTTAGGTGGCTTTACTGGACTGCCAACTACATTGTTGCTGTTTGAGAATTCAGATGATGATTTTGAATAAGGTGATACAGATTTTGTTATACAACCATAATCCTCAGTTAAGTCCTTTTCTGTTGTTTCCGCTACACCTATATTTTCCCACAGACAAAATCAGAGCATGTGTTATCATTGATATCTGCTTTAGAAAGAGCATGGTTAACTTAAATTCTAATAAAATAAGATTATTGCACCTGCAAAGCTTAGATGTATTTAACATTAGGGGCAGAGTCATATATACTTTTAAAAATCTGGTGGAGTGACTTTTTATGTGTGCAACAATAGAGTGGTATTGAATGTTGGGGATGATAAATGTGCTTTATCCTGGATTTCATTATCAAACTGGATACATGTTTTATAAAGCTGTATAGTACCTCACAAAGATGTAAAATAATCATATATAAATCAGAATTACAATGTAAAAAAAGATAAACTTTTAATAAATTGAGACCAAATTATGCTTAAAATATAGAAGACCAAAAAATAATGCTAAATTTAAAATGTAGCCATAATTATAAGAACTTTTAAAACATTTTCATATTTACAGTATAAGATGAAATATAAATGTCAACATAACTGTTCTCTTAAGTAATTTGAAATCATAGCCAATAATGTTATAAAGTCATAGAATTTTATGACTGGAAAAAACTTAGAGATCATCTGGTCTAAGTCTCTCTCTCATATAAAAATAGGGGAATTCAGTGATGAAATCAGGCCTACCTACATTAATTCTCAGACAGACACTTTTCATATCAAACCAAGGTGAGATGAGCGTGTAGTCTATGAGCTTGTGTGAAATGACAGAGGTCCTGACCACCATGAGAATAAAGCAACACAACAGCTTCTTTAGGGAAACTATCTTATCTGATGTTAAGTCTTGACTTTTAAGGAAAATGATTAACACTTAGTTTAAATATTTAAGTATCCTTACAAGGAACTATAAATAATATAAAAAGTACAGACTTATACTTTTTATCTAGAAAAGCATACATGTCAGAACTCCTAACGAATATACATTTTTCTTTCTCAACTATTTTTAAATAAAAAGCAAAACTTCAATTATTTATAAAGATAATCCACTATAGGTATACACAATTGACATCTCTTAGACTTAAATCAATGAAATATAAAAAGGAAAAAAAATCAGAAATTTTCTTAATTCTTCTTATTAAGTACCTATTGAACAAAAAGTACAATGCTTACTTGAACTTTCACATTATAATTTGTAAATATATACTAAATATTTTCCATATTGAAGCAATTTAGTTTTAAGTCTCTAACACAAAAAACTTTAGTATCTTAATAACATTGTTCCCAAGTTAACAAAAAAAGTCTCTAGAATTAATTTAGTTAAAAATAAAGTTTTAGCTCTGACTATGACTACATTAGGACTGCACTCCACAAAATCAGTCCCCACATTGTATTTTCATATAATTAGAGTTTATATAAAAATGGCTGAATATTTAAGTTGAGAAAAAAACAAAATTGATACTGACATCTCATTACTTCTATAGGTGATGAACCTCCAGGCAAAGATATAGGAGATAAGTCAAGGCTTTTATCTTTTATACTATTTTTTAGCAGAGATGAGTTTTTCCATTTTTTTGATACTTTCTTTTGTGTTTCAGTAGAGAAGACTTTCTGTTGATTCTTTGGCAGCTTGAGTGTTTTGGTTCTGCAATGGACATTCTCCTCCTAAATTAATTGATAACTCTCCAATTATACTCAAATACAAATATTTATACATGGACACATAAAACAATTACATTGAAATATTCAGTACATGTTTTATATTAGTACATGTAGGCAAATGAGGGTCTAGACATCATGTGTAGCGAAAGATTTTCTAATATACTAGAAGGCATGACACAAATTTACAGGAAAATATACAGATATAGTAAATGTCATACTAAGCACAAATAAAATGCTTTAAGGATCAAAGAAGATGATGATATCCAGTTCAGAGAAACCAGAAAGAACTTCTGAATTTTGCAGTACCTGATAGACCAAAGAGTTTGTGAAAAAAGGTAGTGAAGGGAAGGCATACTGGAAATAAGGAAATCGGCTCATAAGAGCAAAGGGAGTCAAGAGGCACAGGTCTTACTTGGGAGTCGCACATTAACTGCTCTGTGTATGTGGAGGGTCTTCCAAAGGTTCATGAAAAAACTGCATGGAATTCAATTTTTTTTTTATCAAAAATAAACTCATACTTTAACTCTATTTTTCCATAAGCTTTTTAAAGTTTCTGGTACATGAGGGAAGAGTGAAAATAAGCTTGGAAAAGTATTTTGATGCTTCTAATGTGTGACACCAGAAAGATTTTCAAGGTTTCTCTTTAAAGAGGGCTAGGACGACAGGTGGCTTTGAAAGACTGACTTAACTGTATGCACGGTAAATTAAAGTGAAAGTGAACGGAAACGTGGAGATACATTATAAAATTCTTACTGTCATTTAAGTAAAAGAGAACAAGGTTACAGACAAGGGAAGATGGATGTTTAGTGACGAGAGTGGGCAGGCGCTAACTGTAGTGCCAGGCTCTTTGAGTTTAAATCCCAGCTATGCCACTTCCTAGCTGTGCAAAGTTCTTATTCTCTATGTAGCTCCATTTTTATTTGTAAAATGGGGTGACGATAATAGTACTAAGCATATATAGTATTTATGAGTTTCATTTATTTCATTTTTTTCACATTTAATCACTGAGTATCATTACAGCATACTAAAAGCATTTTCCCATCCTGAATACACTGTGTATTGGTTCAATTAAAGGTATTACTATACATATTATCATCAACAGATAATTTTCCATTTTTGTGTCATTATTAAAAAGTTAAATCTGGGGCCAGCAGATGGCATAGTGATTGTCACTGGACACTCACATGGCCGACAATGGTTTGAGTACTAGACCTGGTGGCTTGAAAGTCATACAAGGTGTGTGCGTGTGTGTGAGTCCAAGATCCCATGAGGAAAATGTAGGAGAAAGGACTGCAGTGTGGCTATCCCCCCTGGGGTGTTATTTCTCGTTTTCTAGCTCACTGTCTCTCTCTCTCCAGCAAGCACATGCACCCTCCTAAGGCAAAAACCTCTTAAAAAAAAAAAAAAAAAGTTAAACCCGTGAAGCATTTAAAATAGCAGCTGTTACACCATAAACAATGTTATGTTTTTTATATATATATATATGGAAGATGTCAAGGACGAAGACAGGTAGTGGGTGTAGAAGAACCTCACATATCAATATTTTCATTTTCACCGAAGAGAAAGATCCCTTTCCAAACAGGCTGTACTTTACTGAAGCATAATTTTGGAAATATCAAGTACTTTATTTGACAGATACTATCTTAATCTTCTAATTTACTAGTCAGACAACAGCTTTATAATATTAATGCTAATTTATAAAATTTAGCACTACATTTCCTAAGGACTAATTTTAGAATTATTATATAAATATTTCTCATATAGAAGATTAACGGTTAAAAAGAAGTCACAAGATAAATTTAACATTTTTTTAAAAGTAAACATTTAATATTTTAAGAATCTTTTAGAAATCATTAATCTAAATTGTAGCTATTTACCTTTACTAGTAATTTCTCTTTAAATGAATGTGAAAATTCTTGCTCACTCTCTGATTCTGAATTTGAGAGGTCTTTATAATTTTTTTTAGTTTTTGTTGCTCTTCGTGGAAGTCTGGTTCTCCCCTCTGGAACTGTCTCACATAACTTTTTGGTGACGTTTTTATTGGGTGTCTTTAGGAGAAAAATTCCTGAATATTATTAGATCAGTATTTGAGATAGAAAAAAATGCAAGCCCATTGCTATAAAATTGGCACTGTGACAAGACAACATAAAATATTTGTAGAAATAAAAGGATTCCTGACTAATGTTTTTAAAATGACTTGATTTTCTCTTTCTATTCCAATTATCTTATCACCTTTTTATTTGTACCATTAAATTGCTGAGAGGCCTGATATTATCTAACTTAAATAAAAGTGAGATAAAAAACACCCGTAACCACAGAGTAACTCCAAACAAGGCCAACGTGATTCAAAAAACAAACAAACAAACAAACAAAAAAACAGAAGGCAGGAAACAGTGACAAAAAAAAAAATCATCTTAATAGTCATGTTTGAACACAAATGTCTTGGTTTACCATTTTAGATCTTGATTGTCCCTTTTCCAAGTATGGTCCTAAAATTCAAGAAAATAAGGTTAAATTCTTCAAACAGATAAGAGCTGGAATTAAATGTATCAGAATATTTCTGTCTTAATACATCTAATACAAATGAAAACTCATAAAACAGTAAGAATGCTTTTTTTAAAGCATATGTAATCATTTAATAAACCTCCTTCCATATGACTTTAAGCCATCAGGACACTAACCCTCCCACCTGCAAATGCCCTAATCTTCTTTCTGGCTCTCCTATTGAAGAATTTGGCTTCCCGATAAGAGGTTGCGTTGGGTGAGTACCCACCCCAGAATTCTCTAGTAGCCTGATCACATCACTGGTGGGAAAGGATACATCTTTAAATTATTCAAAATTTAAGAACTTTAAGAATTGATAACTTTTACTCTATAGTGTTTGGTACGATATAACCAATTTCCCTTGATCTCTTTTATTTTCTATTGTAACAATTTTAAACATAAGAGTATATGTAACATAAGTTAAAGGTTATCATCCATGAATTTGTCCCTCAGTGGGTACTAGATCATGAATAACACTAAATCCATTTGTATATTCTCTGTTGTATCATCCTCAGATCCCCCTGCTGAAAGGTAATCACCATCTAGAAATCTGTATTTATTAGCCTGCTTTAAAAACTTTTATTTCATAGATATGTACCTCTAAAGAACACAATGAACCTTCATCAAATGGTATCATGTCCCGTGTAATAGTCTATGATTTGCTTTATTTTACACATATCATTAAGTTCTGAAGATTTCTTTATTAATATATTATCTGAGATACCAGCAGGTGGTTAAAGACGCTGGACTCCCACATGACTCACTGAAGTTCAAGTCTCAGACCTGGCAGCTTGCTTTCTCACTTTCTCTTTCGCCCCCTTTCTCTCTGGTCAAATTAAAAAGTACTAATAAAATTTTAAAAAGTTAAATAAAAATAATTCTTTTAAAAATGTATGCATATATTATTTGATAGTAGCTTTAGTCTCATTTCCTATTTTTTGCCTTTCAAGCACAATAGTGTTTTTCTAAATATTCTCTCAAGTCTAAGAAATGAGATTATCTAAGCCAAGGAAGCAAAGTTTTTTGAAAAAGTTTCTAGTGCTAGCAATAAGTCACTTCATGCATAATTAACATGTAGTAAACTATCACTTAAATAATTCACTCAAGTTCAACTTTATAAGCATTTATTGATTAAAGTGTTCTAAACTCTAATGTCTTCCTGAGATTGTTAATCTTCTAACTTTATGCTACCAATGTCTTTATTTGAGGTTCTTCCACTAGACTGAAAAGCTTGCTGAGGTCATGGGAATGTTATTGTGTTTCCCTATGACCAGACCCAGCCTCACCTGTCACCATTTCCCATAAATATAACCTCCTCCTCTGACACTGCACCCTCTGAACGTCCCTTTTATGACAATCCTGATACTTTCTTCCTACAGCATCTTGTTGGCCCTTCACATGTTTTCAAGATTCAGCTTCATTTCACATTTCTTCTCTCTACTCACTTCTCTTTTTTCCTTCAAACTGTCTCCACCCCTCACACACCCACATCACTACTGGTTACTTTTATTCTGAAATGATACAAAAAGCTGATTCCCTTAAAATAAATAGAAATTTAACTGAAAATCAGAGTTACCTTTTATTCTTTTTTTAAAAATAGCATATTTAAACCTTTGTGTTTTGGCCAACCAGGTGGTGTGGAGGTTAAGGTGGCTAGATCCCACGTGGCCAACTCTGAGGTTCAAGTCCTAGATCTGGTGGCTTGAAAAACACGCCAGCCATGTGTGCACATGTGCCCAAACTCCTGAGAGGAGAGTGCAGGAGAAGGGATTGTGAAATCTCCAGCCTTGCCCACCACCCCCCATTGGGGGGGTGTTTTCTCACTTTCTCTCTCTCTCTGGCAAGCACACATGCCCTTTAGCAAAAATCAAAACAAAACAAAACAAAAACCTTTATATTTTAGCAAAGATTGAAACTAATGGGTAGCTATGAAAATGGCAATTCTCTTTAGCCAAAATCTGTATCTCAAACTTTTATCCAACTACTTCAAGAGATTTACTATCTCAAAGAGAAAGGAAAAGTCACTTTCTGGAAAACTATTTCATGATGACAAAAAAATAATTTTGCAAGAAAATCATTTTAGGTTCTATATATTTCTAATGCATCTATTGGGTTATCAAGAAAGTCATGATACCTTTTTGCATAGAAAAATACATTATGACTTTCCCGACAACCTAACATATGAATTCCTATAAAGTATGTATGCTAGATGCACCAGGGTGATGGGATGCTGAAAAGTATGATATACATGTGTATATCAATATTTACATGTTTATATACCTTTACATATATACACATATATTTGCAAACATATGTATATATGTAAATAGGTCTAGGTTAGTGTCAACATCAAGTGTCTTGTTTAAGGGTGTTGGTTACCAAAGTATTTAGTATGTTATTCACAATAACTAATTGTTAGGTAACTGAATAATACTGAGCCATGAGTATATAAGTAATGAGAAACTAAGTCATAAACCAGATAGTGATAAATCATATTTTGTGTCCCAAAGGTCCTATTAGAAAATAAAACAAACAAAAAACAAGTGGCCCAGGCTTGATGGCACACAGACAGCACCACCACAAGGGAGACATGAGTTCAATTCCTGGGCCAAGCTGAACATACTTCATAGTTTCACAGGTTTATAATCCTAGTTAACCGGGAGGCTGGGGGGACAGGAAGACCACAACTCAGCAAGACCCTGTCAAAAATACTTATCTCTGTCTCTTTCTTGTTCCCTTGTTCATAAAAATAAAAGGAAAAGTAATCTAAAAAAGGAAAAACTATTATTTTGGTAACTAACCAAAATAATAAAATAAAAAACATAATCGCTATAGTGTTTTGTCCTATCATAAGGATATATAGTTACAAATAGTCTACATGCAAAAATATACTCATTGACCAATACATTTTATATAACCCAAACGGTAAAATCATTTGCAATATTTCTAAAAAGTAATTCTTACTTGGTCTCCCACTTTTATGTTTCTTTGAATTTTTATTCCTGCTATAGTCTATTAGCTGTGGCTTTGACTTGGGTTCTCGGAGCCAGCTAATATCGGTCTTGCTGTCGTCACATCTATATTCTGTTTCCGTATCACTAAAGAGATTTCTCTTTTTATGATTTGTTACAATCTATTTAAAAAGAAACAGATGAAGAAATATGTCTTATTATACATCATGCAAGGTAAGTTAAACCAAGCTCTCCCTGCCAAAAGAGGAGAACTTATTTTTTAGCTTAGCACTAAGGACCTATCCAGAAAGCTGTCTGAGATTCAGATCCGATAAGACGACTTGTATTTTGCTGCTGGTGGTGTTAATTGAAAGTTAAATAGAAATAGCTTATTTCCATAAAGACATAAGCTTATATTGTCAAAATAAAATCACAAATCTTCTATAACTAGATAATTACAGATAACACAAATACCTTATGAAAAGTCATAATAGGAACATAACTAATTTTATAGAGGAATAAAAATAATTTTTGTTTTTCAATTTTTTGAAGATTTTTGGCATTAAAAATTATTGAATGAAACACTGATTTTGGAGGCCAGCAGGTGTCGTGGTAGTTAAGGTGTTGGACTCCCACATGGCGGATCCCAGTTGAGTCCCAGATCTGATGGCTTGCTTTCTAACTATCTCTCTTTTTCTAATAAGCACATGTGTCCTAAAGCAAATTTAATAAAAATTAAATAAATAATTCTAATAAAAAGAAATACTGAATTTAATAGAAACACCAGGATATTATAACTTACTTGTTTATCTTTTGTTTTGAGAGAAGGTTCAAGTTCATCATGATTCTTTAAACCTACCCTTAAAATACAAATATGTATCAATTTTAAAATAGTATTTCTATTTGTTTTCTGAAGGTAGCATGTAAAGTAAACCTGAACTTTCAGCCTCTTTCTCTGTTTAGCTATCTAATTCTGGCATAGTCACGTTTCCTCTCTGACTGCAGTTAATTATAAAATTATGAGGCTGAAGTAAAGGACTACTAAATGTTTTCAGCTCTATGAGCTAAGATATATCAGTAACAGAGTTCACAGAATTTGCATATTTAAAGAGTAAATGCTAAAGTAGTGGATCATGATGGGAGTAATCATGACAGTAGCACTCATTCTCATATGTTGAAAACTCTCAGACAGACAGACAGACTGGAAAGAGAGATTTAGAGGAAAAAAAGATGGAGATAAGTGTATTTCAAACTAGCCTATCTAATTATAATTTTAAAAAACTTACAATTTTATTGAATTATCCATACACGCTTCTCTAGCCGTGGCTTGAAATTCTTGAATCTATATTGTGAATAAAAAAATTCTTAGTGTAAAAATTTTAAATAAACACAAAATAGTTTCTACCACATCACAGAACCGTAAGATTTGACAACAAAATTAAGCTTACTATAATATTTTTACTTAAGAAACAAGCTAAAACAATAAAACATATTAAAAATAAAATAAGCAAGAGTGTTTGTGTTAATTTGTTGCATTGATAAGGAAAATGAGGGGCCAGCAGATGGTGTAATGGTTACACTGCTGGACCTCCATATAGTTGACTTCGGTTTGAGTTCTTGCCTTGGCAGCTTGAAACTCATGCTGGGTACGTGTGCATGCATACCCCAATCTCAAGAAGAAAATGGAGGAGAAGGGATTGTGGTGTGGCTATCCCACCTGGGCAGGGTGGTGATGGTGATTTTTCACTCTCTGTCTCTCCAGCAAGTACATGCACCCTATAGCAAAAAATTTCTCTTTAAAAAAAAAAAAATAGTAAGGAAAGTGATTTTCTTGATAGAACAATCTAAGTCTTCCTACCCACCCCCTCAGTTACTTATTTTTCTTCACCTATTCCAAAAGGTTTGAAAAATAACTATATCTACTATACTTAGACTTGTTATCCTGTTAACTTATTACATTTTTAAAAAATTGAAAGTGTATCTACAGGAGGATGCAAATCAAAAACATATACATTAGTAACTATATAATAAATACAAAATAACTACTGAATAACTAAATACGAAATAACTATGGACTTCTAGCTTACTCCAAGTTTTATGATAGGTTCATCAGCTCCATTCAAATTAAAATCGTAAACATCATTCCTATGAAAATGAAGAGAAATATTAACTCCATTATACCATAAGTATATTTAGTCTCTTCAATGATGAAGAAAATAAAAAGACTGCCAAAAATTACTTACAATGGGCATTCAGAAGTAATATTAACAAAAGTTGTCTTCAGTTTTCTGTAACTTTTTTTCTGAACTTTTTCCTATATACAAAAAATGTTTACATAAAACCATTCAAACTTATATATTACTAAGCATTGTGATCAGCCCAATTAAAACTTCATGTTGCTCAGTTGTGCTTCCACTCATGTACGTCTGGCATTTACAACAGTTTCCTTAATGTAAACTGAATAAAGATATAGCCCCGCCCCCCCAAAGTGAAATCACTACCTAGTAAAGATATCTATCTACACTTCCAGGTTCACTACAGCATTATTCACAAAAACCAACGCATGGAAACAACCCAAGTGTCCACCAACAAATGAGTGGATAAAGAAATTGATACCAGTTGGCACAGACAGAAAAGATTCAAAAGGCATTAAAGAAGGTGAATCTCAAAAATTGGTAAACTATGTATATACTGTATGAAGAATAAAGAAAAAAAATAATTGTTATTTTAAGCCTGAATGAATAGTAAATGTTAACAAAATTGGGACTTAAGAAGGACATGTCAGGAGAGAAAGGATTAGCAAGGGAAAAACAAACAAAAACCATGGTGATAAGGACATACAGAATTATGTTAACAAAAAGTAAAAAAACCCATGTATTCTACCTACATAAAAAAAGCATTTTGTGGGCCTGCAGATGGCATAGAGGTTATGTTGCTGGTCTCCCATAAGGCCAACCGTGATTCAAGTTCTGGATCTGGTGGCTTGAAACATACACTACGTGTGTATGTGTACATGCCCCAGATCCCAGAAGGAGAACAGAGAAGGGATCACAGTGTGGCCATTCCCCCTTGTGCGGGGGAATTTCTCACTTTCCCTCTGTCTCTCTGTCTCTATCTGGGAAGCACATGCACCCCAAGGCAAAAACTTCTTCAAAAAAGAAGCATTTTCATTGAAAAACAGATTAGGAGGCTATTTTGAATATTTGCCACTAAACTTGTTAGCTGCTATAATTCATGTAGCAATATCATGAAAACACTAAATCTAATTTCATTTTATGAATTAGGAAATTTTATTTCACCTTAGTAATTCTATTTTAGTGCTTATATGAGCAGTCTTCAAAAGTTTCATTCAAGTGCATATTATGAAAAACAGCATGTATGTTAAATTTTTCTTGCACCAAAATAAGTTCATACTTAAATTTTCTCACAAACTTTTTTTTGAAGCTCCTTCATAGTTGAATATCATCAAGTTTGACTACAATTTTGGTGAAGTTAAATAAATGACACCTACCTTACTGAATTGTAGATCAGATTTGTTTGAAATACCACTATTAAAAAAAGTTGTCAAAATTAAAATAGCAACTAAAAATCAGTATTTTTCATAAAAGACATTTTATATAGGTAAAACATATTTAGATCAATAAATATGTATTTTATATTCTATAAATAACCAAATGTGACCACATTAGTCAGTTTGATATTTTTGCAACTCACTCATCATAAATAGTACCTATAATAGTTCATTCTAAGCTGAATCATTAATGCAGCAGGACATGCCAAACAATTTTAAATTGTTTTAAAATGCTTCCACCATGAGTGTCCTTTTTAAATGTCATATAATAAAACTAAAATTAATTTAAAGTTGGATTAACCACCTGACATCCTATAAATGTAAATTTTGCAATAAGAAAAGAAACATTGGGCCACCAGGTGGCAAGGTGGTTAAGGTGCTGAACTCTCACATGGAAGACTGTGGCTTGAGTCCAGGACCTGGAGGCTTGCTGTCTCACTTTCTCTCTCTCTGTTCAAATTAAAAAGAAAAAAAATAATAATAAATAAATTATTACAATAAATGAATAATTCTTTTTTAAAAAAGCAAAGAAACCTTTAGGAAGATTACAAATAAAGAATATACTAACTGCTACATAAAAATAGCTCATTACAATTTCATATTTCATTCAGCAATGTATTTAAAATATATTTCGTTTTACTAATTATTAGATTCAATAAATATAATTCTAAAATATCTATATCCTCAGGATTTCTGAACTGGTATGCTGTACAGATATGCTGTTTTTTGGTATTTTATAAAATGTAACCAGACATTAGAATGACGGATTACAAATTTAGTTTAGTTCCTATATAATTTATATTGCTACTATTTATAAAAGCAATAATTAACCATGTGTTTCTAAGGAATTATGTTATTTGAAGTGTGTTTAATCTTTCTCAAACTGTGTAAAATAATTTCATTTTATTGTCAGGTAAACACTCATGTCTGAAATTTAAGAACATACCTGTCAATCAAAGCTTCCTTTAATTTTCTTGTAGGCTTTATATCATCTTTTGGTTTGTATCGCTTATTAATTTGGCTTATCAAGGATTCTGCTGCATCATTAAATCCTATTTTGTGGGCCTGCAGATGGCATAGAGGTTATGTTGCTGGTCTCCCATAAGGCCAACCGTGATTCAAGTTCTGGATCTGGTGGCTTGAAACATACACTACGTGTGTATGTGTACATGCCCCAGATCCCAGAAGGAGAACAGAGAAGGGATCACAGTGTGGCCATTCCCCCTTGTGCGGGGGAATTTCTCACTTTCCCTCTGTCTCTCTGTCTCTATCTGGGAAGCACATGCACCCCAAGGCAAAAACTTCTTCAAAAAAGAAGCATTTTCATTGAAAAACAGATTAGGAGGCTATTTTGAATATTTGCCACTAAACTTGTTAGCTGCTATAATTCATGTAGCAATATCATGAAAACACTAAATCTAATTTCATTTTATGAATTAGGAAATTTTATTTCACCTTAGTAATTCTATTTTAGTGCTTATATGAGCAGTCTTCAAAAGTTTCATTCAAGTGCATATTATGAAAAACAGCATGTATGTTAAATTTTTCTTGCACCAAAATAAGTTCATACTTAAATTTTCTCACAAACTTTTTTTTGAAGCTCCTTCATAGTTGAATATCATCAAGTTTGACTACAATTTTGGTGAAGTTAAATAAATGACACCTACCTTACTGAATTGTAGATCAGATTTGTTTGAAATACCACTATTAAAAAAAGTTGTCAAAATTAAAATAGCAACTAAAAATCAGTATTTTTCATAAAAGACATTTTATATAGGTAAAACATATTTAGATCAATAAATATGTATTTTATATTCTATAAATAACCAAATGTGACCACATTAGTCAGTTTGATATTTTTGCAACTCACTCATCATAAATAGTACCTATAATAGTTCATTCTAAGCTGAATCATTAATGCAGCAGGACATGCCAAACAATTTTAAATTGTTTTAAAATGCTTCCACCATGAGTGTCCTTTTTAAATGTCATATAATAAAACTAAAATTAATTTAAAGTTGGATTAACCACCTGACATCCTATAAATGTAAATTTTGCAATAAGAAAAGAAACATTGGGCCACCAGGTGGCAAGGTGGTTAAGGTGCTGAACTCTCACATGGAAGACTGTGGCTTGAGTCCAGGACCTGGAGGCTTGCTGTCTCACTTTCTCTCTCTCTGTTCAAATTAAAAAGAAAAAAAATAATAATAAATAAATTATTACAATAAATGAATAATTCTTTTTTAAAAAAGCAAAGAAACCTTTAGGAAGATTACAAATAAAGAATATACTAACTGCTACATAAAAATAGCTCATTACAATTTCATATTTCATTCAGCAATGTATTTAAAATATATTTCGTTTTACTAATTATTAGATTCAATAAATATAATTCTAAAATATCTATATCCTCAGGATTTCTGAACTGGTATGCTGTACAGATATGCTGTTTTTTGGTATTTTATAAAATGTAACCAGACATTAGAATGACGGATTACAAATTTAGTTTAGTTCCTATATAATTTATATTGCTACTATTTATAAAAGCAATAATTAACCATGTGTTTCTAAGGAATTATGTTATTTGAAGTGTGTTTAATCTTTCTCAAACTGTGTAAAATAATTTCATTTTATTGTCAGGTAAACACTCATGTCTGAAATTTAAGAACATACCTGTCAATCAAAGCTTCCTTTAATTTTCTTGTAGGCTTTATATCATCTTTTGGTTTGTATCACTTATTAATTTGGCTTATCAAGGATTCTGCTGCATCATTAAATCCTATCCCTTTTGACTTTTCTCTCTGAAACAATGTATGAAATACTTTAAAACTCTACCAGTTAGTCTCCAAAGGAAAGGCTGAACATATTTATACTAACAAAGAAAAACAAAAGGGATCAGAAATTACTTAAGTTTGGGCTTTGTAAAGTGTTGAAACAACTCAGAATGTATTTTAACATATAGCTTTGTGAATTTTTTTTTTTTTAGTTTATACCTATGAGAATAACAAACTATAAAACAAAAATCCAGTTCTTTGATATCAATAAAATTGCTAAACCTCTAGCTAGGTTAACTAAGTTTAAAAAAAAGAGAGAGAGAGAGAGAGAGAGAGAGAGAAGGCTATTATTACTTATTATTACTTATATTATTATTTTACTAATATCAGAAATGAAAGAGTCCATTATTACTAATATCGTGAACATTAAAATAACAAAGGCATATTATGAACCCCATGTTCACAAATTTGCTAACCTAGATAAGATGGACTAATTCCCTGAAAGCCAATCTAACAAAACTTCTAGGAAAAACAGAGCATGTAAATAGATCTGCATCTATTAAGGGAATTGAACCAATAATTAATAATCTTCCAAAACAAAAAACACAAGGCACAGATGAATTCACACGTCAGTTCTATCAAAGATTTAAAGAAGAAATTGTAACAATTCTCCAAAATTTTGTAGAAGATAGAAGCAAAGACTGTCTGTCTCATTGCTCCTTTCTGAAATCTTACTAGAAGGTCTAGCTAATCCAATAAGACAAGGAAATAAGATAAAAGGTATATAGATTAGGAAGGAAGAAATAAAATTATCTTTGTTCATGGGTGACCTTATTGTCTACATAGAAAATCCCAAATAATTAAAAATAACAACAAAAAATGTTGGAACTACTAAGCAATCACAGCAAGGTTGTAAGGTACAAGATTAATATATGAAAGTCAGTTGCTTTTTTATAAACCAACAATGAATACGTGGAATTTGAAAACACACACAAAATAAAATTTACATTAGTACCCCTCAAAATGAAATACTTAGGTATAAATCTAACAAAATTATATATGAAGTAGTAACCCTGATGAAAGAAATCAAAGGAGATGTACATAAATGAAGAGATTTTCAATACATGAGTAGGAAAATCAACAGTGTCATGATGTCAGTTCTTCCACTCTGGCTCTATGCAACCCGCATTATAATCCTAGTAAGCTATTCAGTGACTCAACAAAGAGGCTCTCAAGTTTACAAGGAAACACAAAAACTCAGAATAACTAACAGAATTTTGAAGAACAAAAAGTCAGAAAACTGATACTACTTGATCTTAAATATGTACTAAAAAGCTACAGTAATTAAGATAGAATGGTAATGGCAAAATAGACAAAAGATCAATGGAACTGGACAGAGAACCTGGGAACAGACTCAACAAATATAGTCAACTGATCTTTGACAAAGGATCAAAGTAATTCAATAGTAAAAGGACAATCTTCAACACTTGGTGTTGGAACAAGTGAACATGCACATGCAAAAAGAAAAAAAAAAGAATCTAAACAAAGATCTTATATTTTTCATAAAACAATTTAAAATGTACCACAGAACTAAATGTAAAACACAAAATGTAAATCTAGAAGGCAACATTTGAAAAAATTTAGGTGATCATGAGTTAGGTGAGGTCTTTTTATATATAACACCAAAAGCTCCAACCATAAAAAAAAAATGGTGAGTATGTCTTCATTAAAATTAAAAACTTATGCTCTGCAAAAATGACCATGTTTAGAAAAACAAAACAAAACAAAAACAAGCCACAGACAGGAAGAATATACCTGCAAAACAAATATCTGATAAAGAACTCATATCTAAAATATACAGAGAACTCTTAAAATTCAACAATATGGTACCAGCAGGTGGCATGATAGTTAAGGTGCTGGATTCTCACATGGCTGACTGTGGTTTGCGTCCTGTACCTAGCAGCTTACTTTCTCAGTCTCTCTCTGATGAGTGAAGGTGCCCTATAGCTGCTTAAAAAATAACAATAATATGGGACCAGCAGTTAGCATAATGGCTATGTCACTGGACTCCCATGTAGTCGACTGCAGTTCGTGTCCCGGAACTGGTGGCTTAAAACTCACGTTGGGCACGTGTATATGGGCACGTGTGTATGCGTGACCAAGATCCCAAGAGGAGAACGGAAGAGAAGGGATTGCGGCATGGCTATTCTGTCTCTCTGTCTCTCTCTGTCTGGCGAGCACATGTGCCCTATAGAAAAAAAAAAAAGTAAAATTAAATAAATAATTATTTTTTAAAAATTCAACAATAAAAAAATTGTAAAACAGGCAAGGGACCAGCAGATGGTGTAATGGTTTCCTTGCTGAACTTCATGTACTCGATCACAGTTTGAGTCCTAGATCTGTCAGCTTAAAGCTCACTCTGGGCAGGTGTGCAAGAGTACCCAAGATTCTGAGAGGAGAATAGAGGAGAAGCGATTGTGGCATGGCCATTCCCCCTTGGGGGTGATTTCTCACTTTCTGTCTCTCTGCTATTCTCTGTCTCTGGCGAGTACACATCCCCTATAGCAAAAAATCTCTTTTAAACAAACAGACAAATGATCTGAACAGACAAGTCACCAACGAAGACAGACAGGTAGAAAAATATGAAAACAAGATTTAACATTATGTCATTAAGGAACTGCACGTTAAAACAACAATGAGATATGACTATGTATCTATTAGAATGGGTAAAATCCAAAACAGTGACAACACAAAGTGATAGCAAGAAATTATACCAGTATGAACTTTCATTCATAGCTACCAGGAATGCAAAATGGTATAGTCACCTTGGGAGACAGCAGCTTCTTAGAGAACGAATTGTAGTACTATTACAACATGAGCAAGTAATCACGACCCCTGGTGTTTCCCCAAATGAGCTGAGGATTTATGTACATACAGAAACCTTCACAACAATTATTTTTGCAAGTCTATTCATGATTGCCAAAACATGAAAGCAATCAAGATGTGCTTCAACTGTGAGTAAACAAACTTTGTTGGGCAGAGTCCTAGACTCGGTGGCTTGAAACTCATGCTGGGCGCATGTGCATGCATGCCCCAACTCCCAAGAGGAGAATGGAGAAGGGATTGTGGCATGGCCTTTCCCCCTGAAAGTTGATAGCTTGCTTTCTGGGTCTCTGTCTCTCTCTGTTTCTTGGCAAGCACATACACCCTATAGCAAAAATCTCTCAAAAATAAAAAAAGAAATGAGCTATCGAGGCATGAAAAGACATAGAGAAATCTTCAATGTATCTTGAAAACAATCTGAAAAGACAAATTCAGTATAATTCTGACCATATGATATTGTGAAAAATACAAAGTAAAGAGACAATAAAAATATTAGTCTACTGCCAGGAGTTTGGCAAAAGGTAACAAGAAATATATAGATAGGTGGCACACAGAGAATTTCTGTATGAGTGTAATGATGGACATATAGGAAGTTTTGAAAAACTTCATTGAAAAATGCATATTATTGGATTGTCTGTTAACTCATGACACATTTTTATATAGATAAAAACACAGAAAAATATGTAATAACTTTCCCAACAACCTAGTATGAAAATCTGCATGAATTTAAAAAAGTTTGCACCAAAATAAAATGAGGAATTCCAATTACCCATAACTTTTCCAGTACTCTTATATGTCACTATTTATTTTCAAAACATAGAAGCACTACACCAAGAATGAACACTGATGTAAACAATAAAGTCTAGTTAAGAATCATAAGGCACCAATAATGGCTTATCAATAAAAAATATGCTACACTAATGCAAGATGCTAATAAACAGGGGAAAAGGGTAAATGGTTGTATGAGAGGTTTCTGCACTTTCTATACTTTTTTGTGTGTGTGGAGGGGGTGGTAAATCTAAAGTTGCTTTAAATAATAATTTATTCACTTTTTACAAATAGAAGTACTAGGGAACCAGCAGTTAGCGTAATGGCTATGTCGCTGGACTCCCACGTAGTCGACCGCGGTTCGCGTCCCAGATCCGGTAGCTTAAAACTCATGCCGGGCACGTGTGTGTGCGTGCCCAAGATCCCGAGAGGAGAATGGAAGAGAAGGGAATGCGGCATGACCATCCCCCCTGGGGGGTGATTTCTCGCTTTCTGTCTCTACATCTCTCTCTGTCTGTCTGGCGAGAGCACGCACTGTATAGCGAAAATCTCTCCAAAAAAAAAACAAAACAAAAAACAAATAGAAGTACTATAAAGTAAGAAATTTATCAGCATAATTTCAGATAATTCAGTTTAAAAAAATTTCTACAATAACTTAAAAAAATGAGATTTCCTGATTATACTTACTTTTTTACTGGGCATCAAGTATATGAGCTTTTTAAATTATAGTAAAATAAATAAAACTTCCTATTTTTAACCATTTTTAAGCCCATGTTTATATATATAATAGGTTGTAAATGTTTTACTTACAGTTCCTTCTTGAGATTATCAGAGTAAAGAGAGGGCTTACTTGGCTTGATAGAAAGGTAGCACAAAGGAAGCTCTTCTAAAACAGTGTATGATTTCAGAACTTCTACATAACTGGAACCAGCTGAGAAATCTGTACCACTGAACTACAGAGACTATTACTCTGGGCTGATCAAATTAGAAAGACATTAAACAGATGACTACCTTAGAAGAAAGTGATCTACAGAATTGGTAGGAAAACCAGCATAATAATACAAGGAGTGACCCTACGAAGGACCAAAGAGAACTTCTATAAACAGGAAATTGATTTTTAAAGAATAAGCACAGTTTAAAAGGGTAGATGAGGTTTCTGTGCTCCCAGAAAAAAAAATGAGTAGCTCAAAGAAATCTGTGTATGTCTGCACAAAAAGAATGTTACTTCCTCTGATAGTGAGGAAACTAAATTGCAGGCAAAGACTAGAAAGAGTAAAGAATAGCATACTTAGGAACCAAGAAAAAAAGATACTCAAAAGGATATGGTTACAGAAGAAAGCAGTCGAATCAGGCATAAAAAGCAAGTTGCAGGTTAAAATTTAAAAAGGTTAGTCAAGGGTTAGCAGGTGGTGAGGTAGTTAAGAAGCTGGATTCCCACAAGACTGACCACGATTCAAGTCCCGGACCCAGCAGCTTGAAAATTATGTCAGATGTATGCGTGTGTGTGCTCAAAATCCAACGAGAAGAAAGAACGAGAAGGGACTACAGTGTGGCCATACCCTGGAGGATGACATCTCACTTTTCTTCTATGTCTCTCTGGCGAGTACACATGCCGTATGGCAAAAACCTCTTGTCTCTCCGGGGAGTGCACACACCCTATAGCAAAAATCTCTCTAAAAATAAATAAATAAATAAATAAAACAAATAACTTAAAAATTTTTTGTATGTGCCCTATAGCAAAAATAAATAAATAAAAAATAGAACCTTGCAGCAATCAAGCTTCTTTCACTTTTTAAGCTATGAAGAAGGCAACTTATGAGTACACAGAAATCAAAGCACAAAGAGCTCACCATTTTTGTTTGTTTCAAATCCCTTGCATTAAGCTCAGAAGTCAATTCGCTCCCTGATTTTCTATGACTTTTCACATTTTTCCTAGGAGAAGGGCTTTTATCACAAAGAGCAGTATTCACATCTTTTGACAGTATATATTTCTTCCTATAGATCAGAGATTCTTCAATTGTCTTATTCAGGAGAACTGATTTAAAAGTAGTTTCAGATTCAATACGCCAATCATTCTGCTTGGTATTTTCAGTACTTTTTTGCTCTGAGTATTTAGAATGCTTTTCTTGTTGGTTATTTCTTTTGGAAACTTCTACTTCTGCTTTATCTATTTTGTTATTTTCCACTATTTCTTTCTTATATTTCACTTTTCCTATTTCTTCAGAATTATCATCAGACATTGAAGAGGAGGATTTTTGATTAGTAATTTTTTTGTTGGTAATGGTATCTAGTGGAGAAACAAGAAACTAATTATTATTAAATTAATAAAGTGACAATATGTAAAAAATGATTAAAACAAAAAATGACTATTAAACATCTGAGAAAATTACATGTACTATATATCCCTTACCAACTGTTATGTGTAGATCAAACACATACAGCTCACCTGGATTGAGTGTGTCTCCTGATGATGTACTTGCTCTTCGGTTATTACATAGTTTAATATTTGTTACAGGTGTCCAACATGCCCACATGGAGTGCATCTTATTTTCACAGATGTTGTCTAAAACACAAGGTGACCTAGAAAATAAATTCATTTGCTTAATATATTTTAAAACATTAGCTTATGACTATTTAAGATCTTAATATGTTTTTTAAGTTTAGTCAATGTTTACTAACAGGACAGTATTAACAGTCAGGTATGGGATTATTTTTGTAAGTCATAATGAAAATTAAAATTATATAACTGATCGGGTTTTAAAATATTAGAAATAAGTACCATTACTACTACTACTCTGACATCTACCTAAATATATCTTATATTTCTTACATGCTGTAGTGTATATTTAAACTAAGTTAGATTTCTTCATGTTTATACTTTATTAATTAAAAAAATTCATTTTAAGTTTTTCAACTTGAAAAGTTACTGGAATATAGAAAAAACATAGACTGCTCTTCATTGTGCTATTATATAATACTTGGGAGATTATTAATTCTATAACTAATACTACATTCTAATAAGGTAATGACCTCTCCCTTCAAGTATGTAATGTCCATATAAAATAATATTAATATATGCTAAAGTATTTCATGAATTTTCTTATACTTACACAGGTTTATCTATTTTTCCCACTGCCTTTGAATCAGGAAGAACATCCTGACGTTCACCTAAATAAAACAAAAGTTATGATATTTCCACTTTTTTTTGCTAGTGGTAGGGTGAAATGTGGGTTAGTTATTGAATAATTTTTTTTTTACATAAGTAAAAAATATTTTTAAAGAATTATTTTAATTTAATTTATTATTATTATTTTTTAATTTGACCAGAGAGAGATAGGGGGTAGGGGGTGAGAAAGCTAGGTACCAGGTCTGGGAATCGAAGCGTGGTTGGCCATATGGGAGTCCAACACCTTAACCACCATGCCAGACCCATAAATGTTCACATATCGAGAGAAAGAAATTGATTGACTGTGCCTCCTCCCTCTAGACCCAAACTTCTTGGAAAAAGGTATTATATATTCTTGTAATCTCAAAAGTTTCTTACACAATGATGAACACATTCATTACAGTTCTTTTTCAAATCAATAAAAGTCAGTGTGATTAAAGAATGTATAGAGTGAAGTATACACTTTTTCTTAAAAAGCAGCTCAAAATTAAACCAAAAAGTACTTACTAAAATTTTGGTTTGGAAATTCAATGTTCTTATTTTCTGTCTTTTCTACAACTTTAGCAGTTTTGATAAGCTATAAACATGGAAAACATATTAATATAAACTGGAATTAAGGTATTATGTGAAAACAACTTTTAAAAGTAAGAGTATTAAAGCTTGACTCTTTTAAAAATAAAATTGTCTTGCTACTAAAAGTTGAGTAGTGTTTGTATCTATTTTATAAATGTTATACCCACTCTAGAATATTGCCTATATTAAAACATCACAAGAAGGCAGAAGACTCTACATCTATAGCTATGTAATAATTCATTTTCACCTTCTACTGACAAAATTCTAGATATGCCTTCATGGCATATTTCCTATTGTTTTTTTCTTTTTTTTAATCTCAAAGCCTGTATCTATTTTGACTGTCTTCACTAAAGTATATAGAAGTGTTAGAAATTATGAATAATTAAATTATATTGAAAGTTTTGGTCATTGCCTAGGTAAATTCTTGTGTGCAACAAGCTTCCCTCTTTTCACAGCCACATATCCACACTTAATACAGATCAAACAGAAATTTATCATCATGATTAAAAAAATATATTCTCTAGTCTAAGATAATTTGTCTCATCTTAGCTATCTTTCCTACTTAACATATCCAGTGGTTATCTACCCTAGGAGGGGAACAGTTATGGAAGAATGCACATGTGCTTTTGGCAGTCACAATGACAGAAAGGTTCTCCTGACAGTAAACTAGTCAGGATGTATCCTATAATATGTAGGATCATGCTGCACAAGTGAAAAATGGTGCCCTATGTAAAACACTTAGACAATCTGAACCATTATTTTAACTTTTTTCTCCAATACCTTCCACTCTTATATGCTTTATCTTCTGCCTTATATCCATTTAAATTAATATATATGTATATATATATATGTATATATGTGTGTGTGTGTATAAAAGAATCCATCATCTATTGTTCTTTTTTAAATATAACACAACTACTAAACTCTGCTTCTTTTAATGAACTGATACATTAATCATTAATTAATGACTAAATTTATAGTCTTAAATTTAAACTATACCCTCAACATTACCTAACACTTGTACTTATTTTTAGGCCTCTCCATTACCCCTCAGTAGCTATTCCAAGTCTTTATATGGGTCTCAACCTTAAATACAGTGCTATCAAAAACTCACCATCCTCATACTCCAGAGAAAACAAAAGCTACTTAGGCATTTCTCATCTACAAACAACTATCTGTATTTCTGATCACTTCTGTTTCTCCAATTACATAATTTTCTCTTCTTCATTCCCTGCTCTGTCCGTTCATCTACCTAGAATGACTGTCATATCCTCAACAGCCATTTGACTAATCTTTGTTGGCCCTTACAAATATCAGTTCAGTCTCCATATTTCTTTAAAAATTGTTTCCTGGTCTTCACCTTCTCTTCTACATATTGGGTCATCGGAAAAGTCATGATGCATTTTTGCATAGAAAAATACATCTTGACTTTTCCGATGACCCAACAGGTAAGGAGTTAGACACCTTTCCCTCTACTGGGTTCCTACTGCATCATATATGTACATCTGAAAACACTTACATCACAATTATCTTATTAATTTGTCTAATTCCCATGCTAATTTCCTACTTTGAGATAGGTAAGAAGAGTCCATCTGTACTTGACATTTCTATGCCAGAGTCTTTCCTATAGAAGACACTAACTTGTGTAACAAACTAAAGAATGATGCCAAGCCCATTTCTCCTACCAAATGTGTAAACAGAATGATTGTGAATGGACACTCAAAAATGTCATTGTAAGTACAGTAAAGAGTCATATGCCAGAGGAGTTCTAATTTCAGGGACAGTAAATGATATCTAAGAAAAAAAAGCAGGTGAGATAAACCTTGCAAAAGATATCTCAATATACATTTCTGCAGTAACTTGACAAAAAGTTATTTAGCAACACTACATGGAGTTACTTTGTCTGTATTATCTCCTCGATGCCCTCCTCCAGATGGTCTAGGTTTAAACGGTACAGTATTATCCACTCTGTCTTCTGATGCGTTAGAAATACCACATTTTTCTGCAGAACCCATCATTTGCAGAGGTGGTTTAATTCTTCCTCTTCGTGGTGTTGCTAAAAGTGAGGACAAAAAACTTAGATTTTGTTTTGTTTTCAACATATTGCTATAATTGAGGAGCTTTTTGTATGAGGCGGGTGAGAAACAGAGGTTCTAGGGTGACCCCCAGGTTTTTGGCTTAGATGAGTAAATGGGAATAGATGTCATTTACAAGATAAGATGATGAGGGGAAGAAAAATTGGCAGCAAGGGTGAAAAGATGAATTCAGTTTTAGAACTGTTAGGTTTGAAGAGCCTGACATACATTAGACAACTACTCCGTACACAATTGGATTTTTGGGAGTGAAAAATTAATGTCAATATTAAATTGCCATATAGACTAAGACTTTATTTTAAGCAATAATATGCATTTATCGGATTTTTCCTTTCTACTTTTATCCTGCTCTTAGTATATTCCAAATATTGTTTCTAAATGATACATAAAATTCCTTGCTGAATGAAAAACTTTCATTCTTTTTAAAAATTTTTTAAAAGATTTATTTATTTAATTTAATTAATTTATTTATTTTATTTTGACCAGAGAGAGACAGAGACACACATGCAGAGACAGAGAGAGAAAGTGAGAAAGCAAATCACCAGGTCTGGGATTTGAACCGTGGTCAGCCATGTGCGAGTGTCCAGTGCTTTAGCCACCATGCCACCTGCTGGTCCCTTTTTTTTTTGGAGGGGTTTTTGCTATAGGGCGTGTGTGCTCGACAGAGAGACAGAGACAGACAGAGACAGAAAGCGAGAAATCACCCTCACCCAGGAGAAAATGGCCACACCGCAATTCCTTCTCCTCCATTCTCCTCTCGGGATCTTTGGCACACACGCACATGCGCCCGGCGTGAGTTTAAGCCATCGGGTGCAGGACTTGAACCCCGGTTGACTACATGGGAGTCCAGCGACATAGCCATTGCACTAACTGCTGGTCCCCCTATTCATTCTTTAAACAACTTGATGATGTAGATATTTTAGTTCCATCTTACAGAGGATAGCTGTATGAAGCACAAACCTGTGAGTGGGGAACTAGGTCCAGGAAGCCTGATAAATTCAGTGTTTTAACTACTATGTTATGTTGCCTCTTGTTTAAATTATATTAATATTGGATATTAATATTCCAGAACTGTTGTTATGTCAATACTCTTATCTTTCTTCTCACTACAAGATATTTTTGGTTCACATTTTATCAATTCTTATGTTCCTCTAGGTAAATTATGTCCATAATTTCTTGAATTAAAAGAGACATCCTTTAAAACATAAATCTTGTGAAGTTATTTTTTCTTTTTCTTTTTTTTTTGTGGCAAGAGGGCACATATGCTTACCAGAGAGAGAGCTACAAAGAGAGAGGGACAGGAATGCACACATGTGCCCCTCATCTATCTCCCAAGCAATGGGTCCAGGACTCCAATTGTGTGGTTGGTCATGTGGAATGCAGCTGCCTCAATCCTCAGGCCACAGAACCAGCCCTTTAGAAATCTTTTAAGACGATGAAAGACTTACATGTGTTAACGAAGAGTACTGGACTTCGCACAGTGTATCTATCTGCACCAGGAACAATCATTGATGCTTCAGACATTTTTCTTTTGCTAGGAGTAATAATCTTAAACCATGAGAAACAACCACAGTAAATATACTTTCTCTTTTGAAATTAAATATCTTATAATTTTGTTCATAACATTTTACCTTAAGTACATGAAGATATATGACTTTTTATAAAAATAACGACTAGAATTTCTGTGTTTTGACTGCCTTGAAAGATTTCATACTCATGTATAGTACTGAATAAGTAGTGAAAACAATAAGGAATATTGTTCTAAAGAGTATTTTTATAGACTATCTAGACATATAAAATACAGTACCTTAATATGCTAGCTGAAAATATTTTATCAGTACTGAGTTTATCTAGTTAATCAATGGCTTGCAATTTCCTATTCTATTGGGTCATCAGAAAAATCATGACATATTTTTCCATGCAAAAATGTCATGATTTTTCCAACAACCTGAATATTTTAAGAGAATGATGTTTAAATACATATTTATATAAAATTATTTTGAATGATTTAATAATGTTAAGCATTCTTCAGAAATTTTCCACATTTTCTGATAATCCGTAATCTGTGAAGATTAAACTGCCTTTGGAGTAAAAACAGCTCAAGGAATTCAGAGATTCAGTGGCACATGAGCTAGTAGCTCCAACAAAGAGTTATATTTTCCCGTATCATCTCAGAGGGACGTGTAAGAATAACAGAAATCAAAGAAGAGGACCTTAAGAAAGAAATGGCTGTCAACAGGGTAAAGGGCCATAGCAAGGTATGGAAAACAAAACTGGGAAATGGTCTCCTGGATGTGGCCTAGAGTAGATCTTCAGTGGAAGAACGATATGAAAAAGAACCGGAATTGTCATTTTCCCCCTTACACAAATAAATATAACATTACTGGTTTGTATTATACATTATAGCCAAATGCAAAACTAGAACAAAGGATAAATGTAAAAAAAAGTGATATGTTCTTATATATTTCTACTTTAGAATTTCTAGAATATCCTGTCCTAACCCCTTGGTCCTATATATATATATACACAATTTGCTAAAACACTATGCTTTGTTGCATTTGTAAAAAGTGTAGGGGGAGACTCTGAAATGTGATTGATCAAGGCCATTAATAGATCAGTTCTATATACTTTTATCTAAATTTACATACAGCAATGAGTTGATCTATGGAAATTCTATAAATAATTATTTTGACACCATATTTACCTCAAGTTGATTATTTTTTTTGTCCCCTTCATTACTGTTTTTGATATATTCAGGAGGTTTAGCAAATTCCTTTTGGGAGTTAGGTTTTTCTTTTAAACTAGGAAGTTCTTCTTCAACTGGTGAAATCTGACTTTCTGACACTAGAATCTGTGATCCACTTGCATCAAAAAGTATAGGGAACCAGCAGTTAG